CCGGTGCCAGTCCCAGCGCTGCGGTGCGGAGGGGCCGCCGACCGGCCGGGGGCAGCGCCTGTGCGGGGCTGTCTGCAGGAGACGCCTCGCTCGCCGGGCGGTGCGCGGCGCCCTCCCCTCTCCCGGTAGCACTGCTGAGGCCTGGTGCCCTCGCCTTCCCCTGCTGCGGCTCCCCTGCCCGGTGGGGCAGGGGCAGTGATAGGCTGGTAGAGGACGGCTGGAGCGGCCGCGGCTGGGGGGCAGTAGGGCTTGCAGCCTGAATGCAGCGTGTCTCGTCAGCGCTGCAGTGCGGGGTTTTTATCCTGGGGCTGTCTTCGCTGATTACCATGGCCTTTGAGTTTCGGGTGACGTGCAAAAGGGAACCAAGTTGGTCGTGGGCCCCGTTTTCTTTTGATTTGCGTAGAAGAGCCGAAGAAAACTTTTTTTTTTTTTGCTCAAATTTTGCATTTGTATAGGCCAGAAGATGCTCTGGGTGGCTTTGGTCTAACTGCACTTGAGAGCAGGAAGGCTTTCTCATCCGACTGCTAAACTGTGCTTTTATATTTGTTTAACCTTGGTGATTAAAACCTCTTGGTAAAATGATATTGCTATTAAAGAATCAGCCTTCTTCCATGTGTCAGCCAGGTTGTGAACATCAGCAGTTTACTTCCCCTGGAACAGCCTTGCAAAATTAGAGCATCTCACACCTCTTGTTAATTTTATGGGTAAAAATCTTTTACAAAAAAATAAAATCTAGACCCTTTTTATGCATCACAAAAGAAGGACATTCTGATGTAAATAAAACACCTTTGCAAAATTTCCTTCGTAGGTTTGGCTGGATATGTTGGAATTGGGGCCTGAAGAGTTATAAATAGTAAATGTCAGGCTAGTTCCAGCCTAGGAATTTGGGATCATTCTCTTGACTTTCATATTTGAAATTCTGGGTGACAGAACAGAGCAGTGCGTGTTCATGTAAATGATCAATTGCTGGCCAATGTCTTCCTCATCTCTTTCCTTTATGTCTTTGCAGGGAAAGACGTTTTTTCATTTTGGAAAGGTTCTGTTCAGCAACACCACAATTTTCCTGAAGTGTAAGTGCTTTTGAAGTATGGGTCCCTACTTAACTTGGTAGTTGTTACAATGTTGTAATACTTAGATGACAGTGCTCATAAAACTGTGACATATCCAAAGATATTAAACTGGTTACATTGGTAGATGACCCGCTGTCTGTTGATCTAGCCATGCTATTGAAAGTCTAGACCAGTATTAGAAGGAGAATGAGGCAGTCGTGGAAGCTAGCTAGCTAGCTGACATTCAGTTTAGATACAACTGGTGAGTTGGAGAAGCAATTGGACAAACATGGTGAAGATGATCTCTCTCTCTCTCTCCTTTTGACTGAGGGTGTGTTTCCCACCATTTGTTTACCCTACTTCATTGGTGATTGTATGGGGTTTTGAGCTGCTGTTAGACAATTGTATAACAGCGGTGTCCCGGAAGGCTGTGCATGGCCAGGAGCGTCTGTTTGGTTTTTTTTCCTCCCCCAAACGCAGACTGTCTTGCAGTGATCTTTGTCACTTCAAAACTGGATTTTGCAATTGAGTTGACTCTGTATGGGGATGTAGTTCAGGTCAATCGGGAAGAGTAAGACTGTTCAGAGTACAGCATCTTGTTTGTTAAATTGTGGTATTAGGTGACAGTACTTGTTGTTAGTGCTCCATGATGTGCATTGTCGACCTACTGGTTTCCAGATGGAAGATGCTGGTTTTGATATATTGGGACTTGATATTCCACTACTTGAGGAGATCACCTCTCCTTGTGTCATATTGCTGCATTTTCAGTCAATGGAGGCATTTGATTTCAAGTCCAAAAGGATTTGATTATCTAGTCAACATGCGGCCTGTGGCCCCTTTGCATGCAGCCTGTGGCACCTTGATCCAGTTCCCGGGCCATCTGCCTGCCTCATCGCTGGGGCTCCAGTGGTAGCATCGAGCTGCGATCCAAGCGGCTTTCAGACAAGCCACCTTTGCAGGAGCTGCTGTGTGCGTGCATGTGCAGCAAGAGGTGGCAGTAGAGCACACCTGCAGCGTCTGCCACAGCTGGAGCCCAGCGATGAGGCAGGCACATGTGCGGGAGCTGCTGGGCGGTGGCAAAAGGTGGTGGCAGGGCACACCTGCTGCATCTGCCACAACAGCAGCTCCTTCCCAAACCAGGCCACATCGGCACTTGCACAGGAGCTGCTGGGGGAGGCAAGAGGCGGTGGGGGATCTGGGCAGCGAGGCAGTGGCAGAGCTGGGCAGCGAGAGATATGGCCAGGCGGTGGCAGAGCCAGGCAGTGAGGCCGAGGTGTGAGAGGTCTGCGCTGGGGCTTGGATAGGGTTACCATTTGTCCAGTTTTTCCTGGACATGTTAAATTGCCATCCGGACAGGTTTTTTAAAAGGCAAAAAATGTCTGAAAAGGGCATTGGGGAGCAGGGGCACGTGCCTTAAATGGAATCTTTGGAGCCACGTACCCAGACCATTCATGGTTGCTGTGCGCATGGGCCCCAGCACCTGGGAGGAACAGTGCGTGGCTCCGGTGAGACCCAGGGCATTACCCTCCACCCCACTAAATTTATGTCCCCAGCTCTGTGGGAGGGAAAGGGCATTGGGTTAGAGCAGGGAAGGCTGGGGGTGCCTGACTCTGCAGGAGAGGAGGGGTATTAGGTTGGAATAAGAGGGCTGGAGGGTGTCCTGGTTCTGGGAGAGGGCAGGGGCACTGGAGGAAACTGGACGTTAAAACTTCTGGCTTCTTTCCTGTAGGTGGGCAGCGGGTCTCTTGGTTAGATTTGGGGGTTCCAGTCTCTGCTCTGTTTGGACTGTGGGTGCTGGTGCCTGGTGGGGTGGGCAGGGGAAAGGAAGGGATTCTGGGAAGTAGGATTCCTGTGATTCTTTTCTAGCCACGCACTTCTCCGCTCGGTGCCTTTACCTTCACATTGATTGTACTTATAGTTCAGTAAATATTTTATTGGCGGTTTTTGTTTTGTAAAGTTGGGAAGTCAAAACAAAAAAGTAGTCAATATAATGGTCTTCTGTTGATACGCGTTTTAGTAGTTAAATTGCTGAACTGTCATTGCTCATTAAAAATGCTGTCATATGGGTGGAAATCGGGTAAATATTGCATTTTATTAATATCAGCAGAATGGACTTAAATGGGGCCTGTGTGTTGTGTAGTCTTGCCTTAATCTTTGTATTTGTGCCTGTCAGTATGAAAGAAGCTATTCGCATATATTTGCATAAATATTTGCGCATATATATATAAAAATAAAAATATAAAATAAATAAATAATACACACACAACTACACTTAAGTTGAGGCCCTGGGTATGTGCTGTGGGTATCATTGTGGCCCTGGGGCTTCCAAAGTTGAGTAGCCCTGGTCTAGTTTGACCTCTTGATTATATAATACGGGTCATAGAACTTCCCCAAAATAATTACTAGAGCACATCTTTTATAAAAACAGCCAATCTTGATTTTAAAAATGATCCTTGATGGGGAATCTACTATGACCTTTGGTACATTTTCTAGTAGTTAATTATTCTCACTATTAAAAATGTATGCCTTGATTTGACTGCATCTTGATTTACATAAGGTGGCTGATGACTGTGTTCTATGTGAGGGGCAATCAGCTCAGGAATGGGCTTTCCCCACTAGTCCAAAATAGCTGAAACGTATTGAACTTTATAGCACCCTGCAAGATGGCCATTTATGCAGGCTGCTTTGAAGGCAAGCGTTGAAAAGTCACAAAATGTAGGTGAGAGGGATTGTTTGTTTTAAAAATGTATGCCATGCACATCTAGAGCCTGAGTACTTGTCCTTCATTTTTATATAAATCTTATTACTGTTGTTACTGTCTTCATTACAGTAGGGTGTAGAGATCTGGGCTGTAAGTAAAGGGTTGTAAGACAGACTGAAAAATTTGGAATTGAAATGAATGAGCAGACAAAGGGCTTGAGGGAAACCAGAGGAAATGATGGTCCATGGTCATGCAGCGGGTCAGTGGCCGCTGTCAATAGAATCCAAGACAAATCTCCTGACTTCAAGTCCAGCACCCTGTTCAGTGGATCATGCTGTATCTTTTCAAACTCTTAATTCCCCAGTGAGGACTCTTATCTTACAGGTGGGCAAACTGAGGGAGAGAGCGTAAATGATTTGCATAAGCTTAGGTAGTGAATAACAGACAGAACACAATGAAAGAGACTTAAATTCCTCTAATACAGGAGTCATTTCCCTCAAGGTTGTGGATACTCCTGCCATCCCCCCTTTCCCTCCCACTCGGAGTGACATTAGTTACATCAACATAAGTCCTGCCATCCCCCCTTTCCCTCCCACTCCAAGTGACATTAGTTACATCAACATAAGCACCAGTGTGGACATTGGTATGTCAGAAGGAGAGCTTCTCTCACTAGTTTTTCTTCTGCCTCTTATAAAGGTAGTTTTATGATGCTTACATGAGAATTCTTTTCCCTCGGCATAAGAACGTGTTCAACAGATCTGCTGCAGTGTTGTATGTGGAGACTATTTCTAACCACTAGAGATTTTTTAAAAATGTTTAAATAGTTAAGCTGTTAAATGTTATGCTTAACTGGGATCCTGCAGGGACGTCCGGCTGGGCCACCTAACTGCTTAAATACATAGTTTAACCCGTTAACATTTTAAATAGGAATGTAAAAATCCCAACTCCAACTGAGGCCCAATTAACTTCAAGTAGAGTGCAAGTATTACTACTTCTGTCTTGCTTACAGTGCTCCTGCTAATCATCACAGAAAAATGTGGTGTTTTTTTTTTTGGGGGGGGGGGGCAAGTGTTACGCTATTGACTTGTATTTGGCCTGTGATCCACTATGATCCCCAGATCCCTTTCTACAGACGTGCTTTGGCAGTCATTTCCTATTTTGTATGTATGCAGCTAATTATTCCTTCCTAAGTGGAGTATTCTACATTTGTGCTTACTGAATTTCACCCTGTTTACTTCAGACCATTTCTTCAGTTTGTCCAGATAATTTTGAATTATAATCCTATTCTACAAAGTGCTTCCAATCTTTCTGGTTTAGTATCTTCTGCAGATTTTGAGTATATTCTTGATGACATTATCTAAAATCATTGATGAAGATATTGAACAGAACTGTGAACAGTGATGATTATTCTCTTGGAATGATTTTCCAACCACTTATGCATCCACTTTATAGTAGCTCCATCTGAGTTGTATTTCTTTGGTTTGTTTGAGGTCATGTGAGACAGTATCACACATCTTACTAACATCAAAATATGCTACCTCTACTGCTTCATCCCTATCCACAAAACTTGTTACTCTACCAAAGAAAGCTATTGGTTTGATTTGACCTGACTTTGTTATTAACAAATCCATGCTATTACTTATCACCTTATGTTCTAGGTGTTTTCAATTTGATTGCTAAATTATTTGCTCCACTGTCTCTCTGGATACAGAAGTTAATATAACTGATCTGTAATTCCCTGAATATGAAACAGAACTGCTTGTGATAGGTTTATTACATGGAAGAATGTTAGTTTTCACTTTTCAGTCCTACCGTGCAGTAATAAATTAATGCTAAAAGCTGTATTGAACTGTTGACTTGGCCCAACAAAATGAGCTGAGAAAACAAAAGTGATTTTGGTTCAGAAACTTGGCTCAAAAAGTGTTTATGGGTTCACTGATCCTGCAAACTGTTAGTGCATTGTCTTTTTCAGGAAAAAAACCTGACACATGTCAGCCTAGTTGGATGGAATTGGCACTATATTACATTGTTTCAGGAATTAACTTTTTTTTTTTCCCTCTGTCTGTTTACTCTGAGATACCCTGTCCATATGTATGGGTTGCATTTTTATGTATATTTTGAGTTGATAATCTTTGGAAGTGGTTAGTGGTGCTTGCTACTTTATAAGAATTGTTCATTTGTTTAACACCCTCCTGTGCTTTGTTAACAAATAATTTTCAACAATCTTCAGGCATCCAAATGGAATCCTGTAACATTAGAATGAATTGAATTCTTGTCTCCATATGGATTTCTTGTGTTCTTTTGAACAATAGTGGCTGTTGCAGAAAGTGTTTTTTCAACTCTTCTGCTGCTGGTCTGTTGTTTTGAATAAGCATATTATCCTTCATTGTTTATTGTGGTTGAGCAGGGGAGTAGTAACATTACCACCGGATTTATAGTTTGGGAAAAACATGGCATATGAGGACTTGTTACATTTTCTTTTCTGTCTTGTTTTCCTTGTAGTTGAAGGAGATGAGAAGGCTTGTGAATCCTCTCAGGGTTACAATATTACCTGGTACTTCAGACGTTCTGATTGCTACAATGAAGTCTCCAACTTTGGGGTAAGAATCATGTGGTGCTTCATGAGATGTTAATTTTTTTAATCACGGTGGCATAGTGTATTTGAGCTTGGATACTTCATTTATATCTCATTTTTGTCAGTCTTTTGTTCTGAAGAATGGGTCTCTATTCTGGTGGTAACAGACTTCCTGGGTAAATGGGAATTGCAGAGGGCATGATCCAAAGCTTATTGAAGACAATAGGAGTCTTTCTATGGACTTCAGAGCTTTTGGCCTGATCCAAAATCCACTGGAGTGTTTAATATTCTTCACCTAGTTGAAGAGCATAAAAAGCAACTAGAAAAGCCCAAGCAACCAAACCCATCAACTCTGATTAAAATCTCTTAATATTCAGTACAAAAAAAATTAGAGAATTTAACACTCAGAGGTCAGAAAATACATAAACGGTGGTTGGATTAAAACTCTATCCCCTATTGCGTATACTAGTTAAATATCTACATTACATAAACATACACTGTTTCTCAAATACATTAGATTGTACATTTTTTCCCCCCCTACTACTTTACATACTTCTGTGTAGCACTTTGTGATAGTTCTCTTTATTTCATTCTCAGGTTCATAAAAATGCACTGAATATAATTTGTTAAGCTCGCTCTTCTGTGTAAGGTATTTTTATTATTTAGGCTTCATGGTTACAGATTTATGCTTCTCCCTCTAAATTTAAGCATATGAGTAATTCTGTCCATTTCTTCTTGATTACTCGTGTACTTAAAATAAACTGCAGGTGTAAATGTTTGCAGGATTGAGTCCCTAACAGCCATGTTGACTTTTACCAGTAATACAACCTTATCTCAGGTGCAGTTAACTACTAAGCAAGATACCATAAAAATGAACTTAAGTTCAAGGCTAACAAAATGTTTGCTATTACTATTGTATAATATATACTGTATTTATAGTTTACACTGCAACTTTCATATAAAGAGCTTTATGGACAGACTAGCATTCAATTCTGCACATACATCATTGTTTAAAAAAATGGAACAATTAGGGATGTTAATGGTTACCAATTATGGCTAATCAGTAGGTGTTGGAGCAGCTCCCCTGCCTGCTGCTGGCATGGGGAGGTTCTAGCTCTGCATTACTGTTGTGGACAGGGGTGCTCCAGCTGATGAAGTAGTCATCCTCCATGGCAGGCTCATCCCAGGGTGTGTCAGATGGGTGCTTCTGCCTAGCCATGACATGGGAGCGGGTTGTGTGTGCTCCAGCTGGTCTGTGATGGGTGAGGAGGCTGCCCCCCTCTATTATGTTTAACCAGTTAACCGATTAAACGTCTAACCGGTTAACCAGTTAAACAGGATTTTACATCACTAGGAAGAACTGGCTGCCACTCTCTAGTTAGAGCATGGAGAGTTCAATTATAAGATGTGTTTTGATTCCCATTCTAAATTTACACGGAAGGAATTTTTACTGTAATTATCTCGGTGATTAATCTGAGTAGATGGATTTTATATGACAGGATGGGATGGGAAATACTTTTTGTTTTTAAATGTCCTGTTGTCTTCATGGATGTTTGTGTGCAAAGAGTCGTGGTGTTCCTTTCCAGTTTTTCTAGCTGCTGAGAAAAATCATTTGATAGACCAAATGCCAAAAATAAATCCTATTGTGTGTCTACCAGGATGAGCAAGCAGCGTCTTATTTTGGAGCCACTATTGAAGCACATACGGGTTGGTCAGGGTCCTACGCCATGGCTTCACTCTTCTTCCCCAACTGTTCGGAGCTCTTCAAACCACAGGTATGAGATTGATGTTGGTAAAGAGGAGGGCATTGGGATGATTCCTATTGGAATAGTTGGACTTGATGCAACAACAGGTGCTGCCTTAACTGATAAGTACAAATCTCCCACCTTAAAGAAGAAAAGATGTATCTTTATGTACACGTAACCGATAAGTCACTCAAATTATAACCGTGTTTTCTTTGTTTTGGTGTATTTAATGCTTACTGTTCGAAGTCTGGTCCCAAAAAGCAGACTTAAACAGTGGCGTTTTCCATATTACAACACTGCCTGCCTTGTCATTAGCTCATTTCATGTTAGGGCAGGGATAGGTAAATGCCAGCCTGTAGGCCAGATCCGGTCTGTCAGGGTTAGCGCCTGGTGGGCCCCCACACCTCCATGTTTACCTGCACCTCCGTAGGGACAGGGATCACGGCTCCTGTGGTCCACAGACCACCATTCCTGACTAATGGGAGCTGTGATTCCCCCATACCTGCAGAGGTGTAGGTAAATATAGTGGCAGTGGCCCACCAGGGGCTAACTCTGGTGAACCGCCACAGATTTGTTGCCCACCCCTGTATTAGAGAATGGATATAGCTCACAGCTGGAAAGGTTGTAGGTGTGTGCCATGCGCAGTCAGAGTTGGTGGAGAAGTGCACACACAGCAAATTGGCCCTTACATTCCTTGCTGAATAATGCCCTTAGCTTTTTTGCCAGGCGAGTTTTCTAGATTAACATTTAAATGCACCTAAATTAAAGACCAATTGGATAGGTAGATTTTATAACACTATCTCAATACAGTAAAACTCCAATAGTCTGGCAGGAATTCCTGATAGTCCAGCATAAAAATGGCAAGAGCCTAGTGAGTGAGCTTCAGCAAAAAATGAGTCACAAGGTAACCGCGGCAGCAGCTGAACTGAGCAAAAAGGGTAAAAAAGGCTTAAAAAAACTAAAACCTTACAGTATACTGTATACAGTATGTACAATAAAAAGGGTTAAGAACACTTTATATACAGTATATAATGTATACAGTGTGTATAAAACCATCTTATAGTACCTCCTGATAGTCCGACATATCTGATAATCCGGCACCACCTAGGTCCCATAGGTTCCAGATTATCAGAAGTCTACTGTAAATTAAAAACTGCAAGTAACTTAAGTCCACATAGTGAAAGGGCAAAAGAGCACCTGAAGCATAAGACCGAACAAGAGGAGTAGGAGGAAGGGATGCCAGGGGATGAGTGAAATGTGGAGGTATGAGCTTGGTGGGGAAAAAATCAAGGGGAGTGTACAAATAAACACCTGTTGCATCTTGCTGTGAGAATCTGCACAACCGTATAAATCCCAAATGTCAGTAAACATACTGTTTGCTTAACAGTTTGTACATAGAGAATTCAAGGAGAAATGTGCAGCATGTGTATTAGACTGTTCCCAGTAGAAACAAAGGACATTGGGCAATGAGCACCAGGAAAATTAACTATTGAATCCTCAGTAACAAATAATGAATGAGGCATAGATAAAGGAGATTTGGAAAGGATTTTAAAAAAATGGTTTGTGCTCCTTTTTAACTATTTTGATGTATAAAGATGGCTCGAAACACATTTTAAAACTTATGCTGCCTATTTTTACGTTTAGAAATTACAGAATTATCCACTTTTCTCTCCTTTTATTGGAGCTCTCCTGTGTCTCAGCTGTTTATTACCAGCTATATATTAATAGAAGGACCAAGGTAGTAAAGTTGAGACTTCCAGAAGACCTTAAGGGTGTTTCTGCACTGCAATAAAACCCTTTATCACTGGCCCACGTTAGCTGACTCAAGCTACAGGGGCTGTCAACTTGCAGGTTAGGGATGTTAGATGGCCTGTAGCTGTGTAACCACATCAAATGTTTGCAGTTACATGACTATTTGATAGTTCCCCAGAAGTCGGGCCAGCAGCCAGCATGCTCCCGGCCCCACTCCCAAGGAGTCTCCTACTACCCTGTGCTGCTGCGCCCCCTTTCCGTCCCCCCCCCCTGCAGACCAGCTCCCACATGCCGCCCCCCTGCTGCTGCCTCTGTCCGTGTGTGTGGGGAGGCAGGCAGGAGCTGTTATGTGAGGAGCTGGTTTTTAAACCAGTCCAAGCTTGATGTGGACAAAGGCTGCTCCATGGGATGCTGGATACTGAAGCAGCAAGGGGAGGGAAGGGAAATGCATGTAGTTGACAAGATTAACTGATAAGCCCAGGTTTATCGGTTAATTGTGTAGTTGTCTACACATTGCCATCCCTACTTCAGACTTAGCCTAGAAACTGAGCTTGAACGTCTCCATTGAAATTTTATAGTCCTGTAGCCTGCGCATCCCAAACACTAGTCAACTGACACGACCAGCCATAGGTGTATTGCTGCAGTCTACACACACATCCTGTGTGACTTTTCCTTGGTTGCCTTTGAAATCCCAACCAAAGTCTTTAACAAAGACTTCCTTTCTCCCAATGTGTTTCAGCTAATAAGTGATTGTAAACAGTCTAGCAAAGACTCCTTTCCTCTTGGTTACTTAATTTTCAGGGTCTTATGAAGTAATAGTTTCATTAGTTCTCCAGTTACTGTATTGTCTTTCCAGGTGGTCAACATCTGAATTTCTCATGTTAAAAACAAGCAGGAAAAAAAATCTGCAAAAAACTGAACTAAACCCACCCTTTCAGGATTTTCTTATGCATAAAGAAATAAAAAGTGCTCAGGTTCAAGTTTTTTCTTTATGGGTTACCTTTAACAGAGGTAGAATTCTCTAAGTGGTGCAGACTTTATTATGGAAATTAGCTTCTTTACTCCCAAATTAAATCTGTAGAACTAAAAATAAAACCTTTTGTATTAATATTTCTGTCTTTGAAAAGAGCTAACATAAGCAAGTACTCTAGCTCAGCTGTGGAGAGAGTTTAGGTTAGGGAAATGAGGGGTTTTCCTTGCACCTTAACCCTGTTACTAAGTTTCAGAATGTGCTTCCTTGTATCCTAATTTAAGAGCAGATGTACTGCTGATATAATTTGCCTGTAAACACTGTCTTAGCGGCTTTTTTTTTTTTTTAAATTCCAAAGATTTTCTATAAAGAATATATTCCCCTTGAACGTCTTTCGGATGAAAAACAAGAGGTAATTACTTTCCTTTGGTATACGTGATTTTTAAATGGGGGTGATGGGGACATGGGGGGGAGGCTTTTGACATCTTGATTAATTTGCTGCTTTTTATGTCTTTAAGAGCTTAAAAGAAAAAGAGAATACAACAAACAACACAGTGGCAGCAGAGAAAACTGTAAGTACCTGAAGATTTTAGGCATAAGGGTGGTCTGCAGTATAACACCTTTAAATACAAATGATTTTATATGTGTACTAATTCTTTTTAGTATGTGTTAATGGTAGTACTGATGATTTTTGAAACACTGAATTATATGGAAGCTAGATATGTTAATGATGCAGGAAATAAGTAATTTGGGAATAAATGTCGAACCTCTGTAGTCCGGCACCCTTGGGACCTGGCCGGTACCGAACCATAGAATTTGCTGAAACACAGAAGGTCAATATTGTCTTACAGTAATATTAACACTTCCACTGCTTCTGGGCTCTTAGAAGACATTTAGGGGTAAATTAGAGCTAAACTGCATAGAAAAACTGAGAATTAGGATTGGTGGCTGTAAATAAACTTTATGGGCTGGTTGGAAACTTGGCCACACTCATGGTAAGTGGACGTCAGGCTAACTAAAATCAGGCCTGGCCATGGATGTTTCCGGACTAGGGCAGTTCGGCCTGTAGTTCTAGGTGTTCTGCTTCTTCGTATGAAATATTTAGTTCTTTAAAATCCATGTTTTCTCTGGATTCCATTTAAGGTCAGACTGGTGTTATAAGAAATCAAATTAAATACAAATAGGTTTAAACTTTTAACACGCTAATGTTGGTATTTAATCTCTATCAAAATTTACTGATTTTTTTTTTTTTTTTTTCTTTTTAAGTGATGATTTTGTCTTATTTGGTGTCGGACTTATTGGCCGATCTGAGTTGTTAGTAAGAGGGATTTCCAACAGCAATTTCCTTAGCAAATGATCAATATGGAAGGTTCTTACTCCATCTCAATAACCTTTGATATTTCAGCTTATAAAATATGAATTGCTACTATCAAAGCCAAAGAGCTCTGTGTAGAGTTCTGTTGCTTTCAGAGAGTAAGAAGCCAAATACTTTCGGTGAATGTTTTGAATATGTTAATGTTAGTGGAGCTGAACCCAAGAAACTGTCTCTTTCCTGACATCGCTGTGTCTTTTGTGGTTGTCTGCCTAATCACTTCTAGGGCATTCCAGTTAAACCACAATAATTTTTAGGAGCCTGGTCCTACTGTATTATAACTGAAATCCGGTCACAGATTAAGTGACAAGTATTAATATATATCCACCAGGTGGACATCCTCCATATTGTCCATATATTCCTCCGCATAGGGGAGAGAATGTTGTAGGGGTAACATCACCTGTAAACGTTGCGCCTGCTTAAAATCTTTTCAAGAGTCTTATCAGAAGATGTTACTTTTGGGGCACTGATGTGATTGGCTTTGTGGTGGTTTGTACATACATCTGGAAGCTTGTTTTTCAGGCAAGGAATGCTGTGATCCAAACCCAAGAAGATGGACCATATATCTTTATTGTGCACATTGGGCTTTCACCCTTGAAGGAGTCTAGTGTCAGTATGAAAAGGAGGGAGATAACAGCACCCTCTTCTGATCCAGAAAAGAGTCGCTTTACAAGTAAGTCATGTACAGCAATCTTTCATTCTTTCATTTATTTTTTGACTTACTGAAATACCTTATCAGACATTCTTTAGGTGCTTTTATTTAATATGTTCTATGCAGTCTTGTGTCAGTTTAAATGCTCACAGTTACATTCCCCACTACACTTACCCTCAGCCAGAGGCAATAGATGCGCCATGTGTGGTGGTATGCTGACGACAACTTTGGGCTTTGTCAAACCAATGGTGGAAACTATCTAGTCATCAGTAATTCAGTTCTGAGTATTGCCACTACACATTAGGGATGTTAGCAGATAGTCGCTCAAATGATTAACCTATAAGCCTGATCTTATTGGTTAATCCAAATAACTACACGCACATATACCCCCTTTTTGCTTCTGTATCAGAGGCAGCAAGTGCGGAGGGAGGGGGGCGGAGGCCCAAAGTGAACCGACGTTTAAGGCAGCTCCCTGTGTGCGCTGATTCACGCTGCGCCGCCTCCCCACCAGCTCTCCACAACCACCAGATCCCATGGAGCCACCTGCCCCCCTCACCCTCCACGCTGATGCCTCTCTATCAAAAGCAGCAGCGTGGGGGGTAAGGAAGGGCAGATGGGAGCTGATACATGCGGGAAGCTGGCTTTCAAGCCTGCTCCCTGCATGTCGGCTCCCTAGAGCTGGGAGTGCACTGGCTGCTGGCCCCACTCCCAGGTGGGGAGAGCATTTTAGTAGTCGTCTTAACTGCTAAAAATTGTTCCGGCTACGCAATTACTAAGTAACTAAGATCTAACATCCCTACTACATACAAGGATGGTGGAGGATCATCCAACTAATATAGATGTTTATAGTCAGATTCTTAAGTAGCCAGGCTTCTCCTGATGTAGAGCTGTGGTGTCCAACCAGTTCTGCTGTAGCAAAGTAGCCACATTCAACTTACCAAACAGCTACATTGTTCAAGCCAACTAGCCACACTCAACTGGCCAATAATCACACGTGGCTAGTGTGTTGGATACCACGGCACTGCAAGATCAAAAATAACTCCTTGCAGTTGCCGCTAGCAGTGACTTGGAACCTTGCATAAATTCAATAGCATATCTTTAAAATGTTTTTGGCATGGCAGTAGTTTAAAAATGGCTACAGTGGATAGGCAATTAGGAGAAATAAGGAAGTTCAAAATTAAGACTTAAATGTAGTCTTGATCTTGCCTTAGTCTGCACAGGCTCTTAATACAATTAAATTGTATTTACTTTTCACTAATGAAGACTACTACATATAATGGGACATGATATTTCAAATACAACCATGTAATTGATTGTTTTATATAAAACTTGCATCTTTTTCTGTGCTTGAAGTACAAATTAGATTTAAGAGATGCTGTACTATGTAAAGATTTGGAATATCTCTGTTGTGCTGGATGTTAGAATTAGATGGTTATTCTAGTTCCATATTTTGGTTCTTGCTCCAACAAGTTGGATTGTGTTTTGACAGTGACTGTGGAACTGAAAGGTCCATATGAGTACCTCTCTCTTGCAGACTATCCTCTCATGATTGTAAGTAAAACTGGTTTTCTTTAGTTTGCCTGCAGAGCAGTATAGTTAGCCACAGTGATTCAGTGGCTCAGCATGAATAAAACCCCTCCACTATTTTTCATGTATTTTCCCTACTGTACAAAATTAAAGAAGTAGCATGTTACAGTATTAATAATTGTTTTCTTGTCTGAGTCATAAGACAGCTGCTGTAGACTAGAAATGCCAGAGGGCAATGGTATCATTAGTATAGTTATTTAGTCATGAATTGCAACTCACTGTTTTACCTAATATTATCTTTGTGTGTCATTGCTTTTTCTGTTCTTCGTTAGCCAATCCCTACAGTTTTTCACTGTCACTGGACAGGGACAATAACTGAGCTTCCAGCTGACTCATTTCTCAGTCGTTTTTTTCCAGGAGGCGAAGCACTTTCCTGCTGTTGTAGACAGAAAGGGGCTTATACAAAATGTTAATTTCATTTACAGAGATCTTAGGAAAAGATTGACAAAAAGCCATGTCTTTCAACTGATTGCAGTGATCTCGGTTACTGGGGGATAAGCGGTAGTCTTTTACTTGGGGTTGAGATGCTGCATGCTTCACTTCCTGCAGAAGTAGAAAGCATCTAGCAGAATTTGCTAAAACTCAGTTAACTCGTCTGAGGCTATGTCTACCCTGCACAGTTATTTTGGAATAATCTATTCTGGAATAGTTATTCTGAATTAGTTTATTTCAAAATAGCACATTTACACTGCAGGGAAGCCGCAAAATTAGTCCAAGGCAGGCTTCCCTAATGTAGACTTGCTATCTCGATTTAGAGCTCCAGGAGGAGTAACTTAGAATGGCCCTGATGAGTAACTTCAAAATAGCAAAAGTGGAGCATCTACACACACCTTACTTCAAAATAGCTGGGCAGGAATGACTAAACAGATCTGTAACGAAAAACAAGTCTTTCCTAACTGGGCAGGAGGAAGTTCTAGTAATCACAGAAAGGTATGAGAAGTATGTCTGCCTCTTGCATGACATCTTTCCAGATAGATTCAAGAAAGTTTCTGAAGTGTCTCTTAAGGGTGGCAGAAAAGTTTGGAACTACAAGAACAAAGATGCAAAGAGGGTAACATGTCTTGGTGTTTAGCGGATGACAAGTGTGATTCTAATTGGAGTTTTTTGAGGATAGTTATTTACTTTACTCCTTTGGATGAATCGGCTGAGAATCTGTTGGGAAGCTCCTTGTTTATATAAGAGTGAATTCACTCAAAACTTAATTATATTGATTCCATCTGCTGGCAGTAGAGGCATGGTACAAATTCTTCACTGTTCTTTCCTGGGGTCTGTAAATGTTTTTTTTTTTTTTTTTTTTTTTTACGCTTTCCACAGTAGTTGGATATAGATATTTCTTTACCAAAAAAATATATTTGTATTAAATCCATGTATGGTTCTTCCTTGGAAATGGTGTTGAGTCTAACCATTATATTAATCCCTTCCTTGCTTCACTCCTGATGTAATAGTTTTTCATGGTGATGTGTATCGTCTATGTATTCTTCGGAGTTCTGTGGCTTGCATGGTCAGCCTGTTATTGGCGGGACCTCCTGAGGATCCAGTTCTGGATTGGTGCGGTTATCTTCCTGGGAATGCTGGAGAAAGCAGTCTTCTATGCAGAATTCCAGAACATCCGCTACACAGGGGAATCTGGTATGTAGTAAGGACAACTTAGAATAATGGGAGTATCTGCAGCACGTCAACATCCTGAAGTAGCTTTGATTTTTAGCCAGTTGAATAATCCTAGCAGAAAAGCTTTGGCTTAGGGGCTGTACAAGCCCTTCTGGGATACTATGTGTATATTTGATCAACTAGTGCGTGTTGCTGTGGCCTCGCTGTCGCTGTTTGAGCTCTCTAGATGAGAGCTAGCTTACACATTCTGCAGCCACCCCTCTGACTGCAGGGTAGTCATGCCCATTGTCATTGGCAAGGTAAGGTGGCTATGTCTTATTTTAATAGATAACTAATTAGGTAACATGAATGCAGTAGCTGTTTGATTATTTGGGCACTGCAGAACAAGGAATAAGCAGTCAACATTCTCGAGTTCTTTTCTAGTTGTGTCACAGGTTCTCTGGATGATCTCTGCAAAGTTAATAAACTGAAGTCTTGCATCTTCATTTCCCCATCTGTGTAAAGAGTATAACACAGTACTTATTTCATGAGGAGAACTGAATCCTTTTTCTAAAGTGCTTTGATGCTCTCTGAGATTGAAATTCGATGTAGTATATGTGTTATGTCTGTATAGGAAAAACCTTTCTAGCAGGTTGCTTAGGGGGTATGTAAGATCCTTGTCATTGGAGGTTTTTAAGAACACGTTAAACATACACCTGTCTTGGATGGTTGAGGTATACTTCTTCCAGCTCCAGCATGGCAGGAAGGCCTAGACTACTTGTTAGGGATTTGAGTGGGTAACTGGTTAACTGTTAGTCAGGAGCATTTCCTCATCCGTGGCCAGCCATGAGCAGAGAGCTGCTCCAGCCTTGCCTGGTGCCTGCACGGGGCTGGAATCCGGCAGCCCCAACCACCAGACCTCACTCCCGCACAACAAGAAGGGGCTGGAGCGGCTCTCACCTCTCCCTTCTGCCCTTTAATTGGTTAATCTGTTAAACCAGGGTGGGCAGTAAAATGGCAACGGTTCACCAGGGTTAGCCTCTGGCATGCCACTGCCATTAAATTTATCTGCACCTCAGCAGGTATTGGCAATCGAAGCTCCCGTTGGCAGTGAACGGCAATCCATAACCAAAGGGAGCTGTGATCCACCCTACCTGTGAAGGCACAGATAAATATAGCAGTGTGCAGGCCCGCCAGGGGCTTACACTGGCAGACCATATCCAGGGTGTGTGCTGGTATTTGCTTACCCCTGAGTTAAACACTGTTTTTAACTGGTTAACCAATTAAATGGGAGTTTACATCCCTGGCACTTGAGCTGTTTTGCTCACCCTCCTCAATTAAATGGGATTTTACATCCCTGGCACTTAGGAGGGTGAGCAAAACAGCCCATCCTTATGTAGTAGAGAAGGCTGGGCATAGTACATCAGGAAGCCTTAAAATGCAGGGGTCATAAATGACCAATGCCAGATCTACATGCAACAAATTGAGTTACTGACAGAAGCTGATAAGCATGTAGTGGGCTCTAGGTCAGATGCACTAGCACAGAGCTTCCCACCAACATTTTAAAGAAGGCTCTGGGTGAGTGAAACTGCGACATGGTCTTACATTATTTTTACACGCAGATGTGCTGATCCACAACATAGAGGATCTTGTTGTTTGGCTGCTATTAATGACCCCAAGGTGTTTAAGGGCTATATCCAACATTTTTGCAAGAAGGAATGGGGAAGGGCATTACCATGTTTTCCTAATGAGTGAAGACCATTAGCTATTCAGTCAGATTTAATGACTTGTGTACTTTGTGGTAAAATATGGGACTGAAATAACATCCTTCAGTTAATCTCTGCTAATCTGTTTTATGCAGACAGACATTTTCGGGGGAGGAGGGGAAAGAGGAGAGTTTTTCATTAACTTCTTTGGTGCCAAATGATGTAGTCAGCCTTTCCTGGAAACTTGCTCTAACAATAGATAACGAAAAGATTAAAATCACTGATGCATTTTAATATGCCTGCATTTCTTGGAATAGTCTTGACCACCCTACTGTGGCTATTACTTGCAGCATTTACTCACAACCCAAATTACATGTTAAGTAACCAGATTTCTTGTACTTTATTCTTGGCAGTCCAAGGTGCTCTGATACTGGCAGAGCTGCTTTCTGCAGTGAAACGTTCACTGGCTCGAACTCTGGTCATCATCGTCAGCCTGGGATATGGGATAGTCAAGTGAGTAGCAGCCTCCTCTTGTGTTACAGGCCAAGCACATTTCTTTAAAGTGGCTAAATGACATTTGAGTGTTATTAGCAAACTTGGAAAATGCATGCTGCAGTGAGACAAAATGAATAGAGCCCTGCAAATCTGTGGATCTCCACTTTATATCTGCAGGTGTCCACATCTGTGGTTGCTGATATCTGCAGCTCATTTTTGCTGATGAGGGACACAAATTTTGTGTCTAGAACCCCGAAAATGTGTGGCTTTCCATTCTATATTCGTAGTTATCCACATTCGTGGCTTTGGATACCGTATCTATGGACCATTTTTGCAGATGCAGACACCAATTTTGTATCTCTGCAGGGTTCTAAAAATGAAAGTAAAATGTTAAATAAAAAAACTTTAAACTTTTTAAGTTTAAAAAAAAAAATTGGAAGGAACCAAGAATGGAAAAAGAACTCTCTGTAAAGAGAAAACAAATACAAGTTGAATCACCCAGATCCAGCACTCTCAGGACCTGACCAGTTCCGGATGAGGGATTTTGTTGGACTAGGGAAGTCATATTTGGCCCCCCTGCTGCTGGGCTACCAAGTCTTGCACCGGTCCCACGGCGGTCTGGCCTTCCCTTCACCCTTGCCTGCTATGCTGGGTAGCCCAACTCCCAGCATGCTAGACTCCAGCCCCGCTGAGCAGCCCCGCTGCTAGTAGCCCACTTCCCTGCTGGCCTACAGGACTCCCAGCTGCTAGTCCTTCACTGGGGCTCCCTGGTCCTGGAACATCCATGGTCCAGCCAGACCATGAATGTTGCCAGACCAGAGTCCTGATTTTACAGAGGTTCAACCTGTATCTCATTCTGTAGTTCACTGCTTTTTTTCTTTTTAAAATAGGCAAATTAGAGATCCTGTCAGTGAGAGAGCTGACCTAGCTACCTAAAGATGACATTTTGAAAGGCATATGAGCTTAATTACACTAAAAGTTCTTTTATCCGGCATGTTGGGAGAATAGGGGCATGCCAGTAAATTAAAAATTCCGGTTAACTAAGAGGAAGGGGTTTGAGGTAAAGTTCTTTTATCCGGCATGTTGGGAGAACAGGGGCATGCCAGTAAATTAAAAATTCCAGTTAACTAAGAGGAAGGGGTTTGAGGTGTGAGTGCAAGAGTGTAGAGGACTGCGGGACACAGAGTCTGGGAGAGGGCTTGGATCCGGCCGGGGGGTTGCAGTGTGGGAGGGGCTCAGGGTGCCAGATGGCAGGGGGACACTCTACCTCTGGTGGCTACCTGTCCCTGCTGCGCTTGGTGGAGGTGCAGCCAGATGGTTTTGCTGCAAGCAGACACGCTTCCTCAGTCTGCATGTGCCATGCTACTTAGCTCCCATTGGTCATGGGCAGGGAGCCATGGTGTCAGTGCTGTGGTAGAGAAGTTAGAGGCAGTGTGCCTGCAGAGCCACCTGGCCATGACTCCACCAGTAATGGCAAGGATGGAGTGGTTTCTTTTGCTTCTCACTTGTGTGGTCCCCAGCTGATTTTTCTGTGGGTCAGTGGCTCCGCACCCAAAAAAGGTTCCCCACCCCTGCCATAAATAGAGAAAACATTGAAACCTTTTGTGTAGGACATAAATTAATATTTTACTTTACTTTAAAATGAAGTTTGATAAACTGTGAGTTAAAATGCTTATTCTGTTTAATAATTTAAATTAAACCATTCTCCCTAGCTGCAGCACTAGCAAAATGGCTTGGGCATAATTATGTAATTAATGGTGAAACCTTCATTGTACTGTACTCTGAAAATCACACCTGTAAATCCAAGCCTGGACAAGCCCTAATGTGAAACCCTATGAGCTTAGATCACCATGACAAAAGAACATCCTAGATCTATAAATTGTGATGAGAGATCTTGAATCATGTCTTTTGCCTGAGCCAAGCCTGGAGAGGTATATTTTTACCTTGAACTTTTTATATTTCCCTGCAGGCCTCGTCTTGGAGTCACTCTTCACAAAGTAGTTACGGCCGGAGTGCTCTATTTATTATTTTCTGGCATGGAAGGTGTCCTTAGAGTCACAGGGGTCAGTAGACACTTACCCGTATTTTCATGTGTGCCTCAGATATAGGAGTGGTTAGTCTTATGTGTGATTACATATTCTGTTATAAAATGAAAAATCATTCGGCTATGCTATAAGGAAACGTGGAGAATGAAATTCCCAGTGACTTGTGGGGTTGGGGGCCAAAGAGAACAGTTGTGGAGTGTTGTTGAGAAGGATTTATTTTTCCAGCTATTTTACCAATTTCTTGCCGTCTCTCCTTCTTAAAATTTTATTCTCTGCAATGGAAAATAATTTTGGTACTTTGAAATAGGATTACTTCAAAGTAGGATTTTTTTGGTCCTGATTTGACACAGTTTTCAATGTGTGCCTAGTAGTCAGGGGGTTCACTGGATCTTGTGTAGAGAAAAAACATGCTAGCAAATAGAAATGGGTGCTCCATGCACGTTTTTGAAGGTATGTATTTTAATAGCCTGATGAAGACTATTTAGTTCTTAAAGTTTTTTCCGGAATGCATTTTTGAAGTTAATGGAGTTTAACTTCACAAGGACAATATCAGTGCTGCAGTGACACTACTGCTTGTATTACTCTGAAACTGACCTATCAGAAGAGTTTTTTGGTTTTGTTCTTCACGTAAATTCTTGGGCAGCTTATTTTGACTGTCAATGTCTCATTTGGTACTCTTTCAGTTTTTCTATGGCATTATGGCTCTGATAGCAAATGTGGGTCTATCGGTGGTTGATGCCTGTATTATTTTTTCGATATCCTTTCAGAAGTTATATAGTACAACTAGTTTCTCTAGGAAATGTTTAGCTCCTGGTGCAGATACCAATAACAGATACCAAGATGTTACTTTGTTCTGTGCATGAGGACTGTTAATCACTTTGTGCATGTTGTCTCCTAGGGGGTCCCATCAGTTTGTAGTAGTCTGTTTTTAAATTAGCACTCAGCAGTGGAACATTGTAGTCTTTGGCACCAACACAAAAGGCCTACCTGCAAAGATCACAAACTTTCTGTAAGAAGTGTTGTTGCAGAGTAATACCATCAAGGCTGGCTGCTTATTAGAGGTCCCTTTGCAATGAGTTACTTACCTGACTCTCAAAACTTGCTTCTTGTCATATCAGTCACTTGTGGGGATCAGAACTATGCGTGGTGGTGTCTGCTTTTAACTTGACTGCCAAATAATCTGTCCTGTGTGGTGAATTCTAATTCAAACCCTTAGCTTTAATATCAAAAAGTGGGGGCTTCATACTTTTCAGTTCTGTATTTATGTTCTCTGATGGTAAAATGATAACTTGGGACTGAATGCTTGATGATTTTGGTGTGTTCTTTGCTTTCTCATTCATCTTGTTCTCACTGGGTCTTTCTCTTTATCTCTAGGCACAGAATGATCTTGCCTCCTTGGCTTTTATTCCCCTGGCTTTCCTAGATACTGCCCTCTGCTGGTGGATATCCTTCAGTGTTTTTCTTTGGAGTTTGGTCTTCTGGGAGTCATTCCACTGCAAACATTTTTTTCACACATTGAATGACTTGCTATCTTTTTGTTGAACAACTACCATAGGCCCTTGTGGCCTAAAGGTTCAGGTAAGCTCTGTTTCTATAACTCATTTAACAAAATTTAAATTGCCAACAGAATTTTATGAATTGGTTTTAGAATAGGTCTTACCCCTTTACCATAGTGAACATGCAGTTTGTATGTCGTGTTCTCTGATTATTGATGTGAATTTACTCTAACTTATATTGAAGCAGCAGTCCGAACAGCAGCTTTTGGACTATGGTCTGTCCTGACCGTGCAGTGGGTTTTTTGTGTTTGTTTTTTTAGGATGGTAGTTTTAGCTTGTTTCTGTTTTAAACTGTTTTTGCGGTTACAGCTGTGTTACATTCATTCACTTTTGCTGAACAATGGGCGAGCCATACTTCCCTTTTTCCTTTCCTGCTTGAGCCGGTCACAAGTTTAAAGGATGTGGAATCTATCCATATCTCTACTTAACAGAAGACTGGTTTCACTTCCCCTCGTCTCCTTATTATAAGTTATTACCTGTGACAGGCCTTGACCTTTGTCATGTCTTACTCCTATACAAATAGCAAATATATCTAAGCATTAGCAATGTATGTATATTGTACGTGCCCCTCATAGGGGAATCAATGGCTCCGGGGGATTTGACTTCCCTTTTACACATCACTAGTGCTGAAACTTTTGCTCCGAAGTTACAGGTCTCATAAAGTAGCTTGGGGACGAGAGAGCAAAGTTAACTTTAAAAGCAGATTTCTGAATAATATGTCTAAATCTCTTCCCAGCCTCTTAGTCCAAATTTGCTATTTATGTCTTTAGCTGTGCTGAGACCTCTTTGAGTTTAGGACTTGGATAGGTTTTAGTATAACATCTCAAAACTACCAAACCTGAAAAATTGGGATATGCTAAAAAGTTCCTGTCTCTTCCTAGGCCAGAGCAACCTGGTTATTCCTCTTATAGCTTTATCAGTCTTTTGTGTAAACACACATACGATTCAAATTGCAGGTAAAGGCAAACATGGATGTGCTATCCACTTATATTATAACCTGGCTATTAGTTTATTCCTATTTTCCTTTTAACAAAAACCTTGTCAAGTTTTCCTGCAAGTATGAGCTAGAGTGCAGTTTTGAAATTTTGCATCCGGACTGCTTACTGATGTGGGGAAATAGAGGTCTAGATGGAGCTGGGTAATGCAAAAGAATGGGTAAGGGGAATCTGTTGTTGTAAACCATGGTTCAAGAGCACTGTGAATGACTTTCTATTAGGAATGTAAAAATGCATAAAAATAAATGTGTAACTGATCAAAAGTTGATTACATGGTTAAATGTGTTATCTGGGGATGTAGGAGTAGTGAGAAAAAGGTGCTAGAGGGCTCCCATGCCTCATGGGTGGGCTCCTGGGTGCTTGCCTTATGGGCTGCCAGCCTTGCTGGCTGCAGCCAAGTGCTCCTTAACAGAGTTGCAGAGTTTAACCATTAACAGGAACTGATAAGCTGTTAACTCATTAAATTCCTACATCCCTACTTTCTACTGATGTGCAGGAGGGCTGGGTCACCAGGCTGCGCTGCTGTTAGCACCCCTATAATCCTTCCTATGTCTGCATGGAATGAGATAGTGTTGCTTGAGATGTGTATGGAAGGCGTGTCATATTTGTTATCAAGAACTTGATGTTTAAGCTTGATTTCCTTGACTTGCCATACATATTCATCAGCCTGACTCAAACGATGAAGCTGCTAAAACTTCGGAGGAACGTTGTGAAACTCTCTCTTTACCGGCACTTCACCAACACTCTTATCTTGGCGGTGGCAGGTGAGCTGTGGATTCCATTCTTTATTAAATAGTAAACTTTTCAGCTATTATAGGGCTGGTTTAGTTCACTAAGGCTCTTCTTTGAGTCATTTTATTGACTTTCTGTAAATGCAACTAGGAGAGGTTGGCATTTCAGTGTTTGCTCTTGAACACTCAGCCAGGGAGAGTGGTGGGTCTCTGCCAAATTTTTCTGACTACTCCAAAACAGTAGCTTCAAACTAGCTTTTATCTGAATAAAATTAATAGTTTTATGTAGTTTCTTTCATTATGGTCCCCTTTCCTCCCACCTCCACTCCTCAAACAGTCTCATGCTTTGTTAGCAGCTGCATCCCATACTAAAGTCTGCTGCTGAGATGGGTAGTAACTTCCTCCCTTCCTCCAAAACTACAGTAGCACTTTGTACTGGTTAATAGGGGATTATGGCTCCCCCATACTGGCAGCTTAATCTTTGACACTTCTAATACTGTTCTTCTCCTCATCTGGACTAAGATGTGAGAGCAGAGTGGTTTCCTGACAACAAATGTTATCTGCTTATTTTAGAAAGGAGAGGGCAGGCTATTTTGGGATGGAAAATTAATATTTAACGTTTATATCCATATGCATCAAATAAAAATGAACTAACATAAAGGACATACCTAATAATGCTACCAGACTGCCAGTTTTTCCTCGCCCACCCAGAAATCCTACCCAAGCAGTGAGCAGATTGCTTTTAACTCAACTCCCTTAAGGGACTGAGGTGTTGGAATCCTGTTTTACAAAATGTGCCCATTATATAGATGAATTTACTTGACATTCTTGGCAGCATCTGAAACTAAGCCACTCCAAGATACAGCAAGTAAAAAAGAAAAATTACTCATCTCTTCAAACCCACTACAGATAGGGCTTAGTGTCTGCATTAAAATGTTGCTTTCGGGGAGGGCAGTTAATTCCAGGAATGGTGGTAGGACAGTTGGTTACTTGTAATCTGATCATAAAGAGGCCTGATGTCTTTGAATGCCAGTATCCTACTCTGTCTAGATAAAGGAGAGTAACATGAGAATGGGAAGTGGAGGTTTCAGGTTTAGCTTAGGCCTTTTTACTTGAGATAGTATTTTAAGTCTCTGATCTGATGTCCTCTTGATTTCTTGTCATAAGGTCAGTTTCTAAGTGGGTTAACTTTTAATTTTTTTTCAAAGGCTGAAAAATTGAGTTACATGCAGTTCACTCTGAAGGTCTTTGGCATTAAACTTTTTAAAAATAAGGTTCTGCCGATACTGTACAATCATAAGCATATAGGCATTTTTCATAAGATTGAGAGGTTCAAGTCGCCAATCTGTCATACAATGTATTGTGTGCCAGTTGATTGGAAATATGGCTGCTTGCTGTGGACGTAGCTTGTAAAGAGCTTTAGAGTTCATAAATGATAAACTGGTACATTGTCTAGAACATTGCTAGAAGGAAGTTTACATAATTCTTCAAAATATAGTCCTCTGGGGGAGAAGGAAGTAGGGGATCATTACCTGCTATGGTTTTTTTGGGGACAAGTGGTGAAAGCATGCCTTGGGGGAAATAAAAACTCTTTGAATTCAGCTCTTAATTTCAGTGGCTGAATTAATTGATGTGAAATGACAGCTACAGAATCACATGGTCCCTTTGTGAATAGAAGAAAAGGATGGAACAGGAAAAGTTACAGTAAATTGGTGGTGGTTTAAAAAGGCTCTTGCCTTTGAAGTTCCATGAGACTGATTTCTTAGATCGAGGTGGGCTAAAGGGCCTCTGTGGGCAGGATGCGGCTACCAGGCTGATGGATCTGGCCTGCAGAGGCCCTGCCGTACCCCCACCCTCAGGCCAATTATGGCCTGGGAGTGGGGGAGTGTGCAAAGCCCCCTCCTGTCCTGCCAGGAGAATGTGGCACTTTTAAGCGCTGCACGCTGCTTACAGGGTTGGGTGCAGAGTGGAGGAGGCTTCGCGTGCTCCCCTGGCCACAGTTGGTCTAGGGGCAGGGGAGCATGGGAAGTCTCCTCCCACGCCAGGGGCATAGGAGAGAGGGGGCAAAGGGAACTCCCTCACCCCCAGACCAATCATTGCCACTTCAGAGATTTCCAGAATGGCCCCCTGTAAAAAATTATTACTGTTGTGATAGGAAAAACTAAAAGGTAACAGGCTTTGTGCGTTCACCTATGACCTACTGTTTTTATCAAGTGTTCTTTTTTTGCTTTCAGCATCTATTGTATTTATCATCTGGACAACCATGAAATTCAGGCTGGTGGATTGTCAATTGGTGAGTTTGCATTTTGTACCCAAGTGATTTCCAGGATTACTACTTTGTTCCCTAAAATCTGGATTTGGAGGTAGAAGCAGTGAGGTTAAGGAAGCTGGAAAATGTTTTTCCTGTGGAGTCCCCTTCATGCGGAACAGCATACAGTGAAGACTTAATAGATTAAAATGTATACCATAGGGGAAGCCATTTAGTACAAAACCACAACTTATCTCCTAGTCGCAGGTGTTTTTAGTTTACCAGTTTTAAAAAAAAGAGGGGGCATGTATTCTCTCTGCTTCTGGCATGTTTTCTTTATCATATCTTTCTTGACAGGACTGGCAGGAGCTGTGGGTGGACGATGCTATTTGGCGGCTGTTGTTCTCAATGATCCTTTTTGTCATCATGGTGTTGTGGAGGCCATCTGCTAACAACCAAAGGTTCAGTGCATCTTACCTTTCTTAAAGTAATCTGGACTACTTAGTTGAGTTTATCCAAAGGGAGCATTTCTAGCAGTCCTTGTGTATAACCTTTCTGTGGCTGTGTGTGTGTGGATTGAGAAGGAAGTATAGTTCATGTTGCAGCTCTCCTGATCTCAGAAAGTGGAAGTCACATTTGTAGATGTATAGGCTTTCCTTTGTAACATTTATTTAAAAATAGGATGAGGTATTTAAATCTCCGTTTGTGGTTGATCAAGAATTTTAACTTACAGTTGGTGTGAGCTATCCAGAATAGTCAAATGATAAAAATTGCAAGATAATAAATCTCTTCAAAGACATTTATGTACAATATTTTTCACTTTGCGCATCTGTCTCATGGTGCTTTCATTCTTTTTGTCTTCTCCATAGGTTTGCTTTCTCACCATTGTCTGAGGAAGATGAAGATGAACAGAAAGAGCCCATGTTAAAGGAAAGCTTTGGTAATGTTGTAGTAATTAATGTGGGAGACCGCCAGACACTAATTTAACTTAAATTCCTCTAAGTCCAAAGGCCAAATGGTGTTCTATAAAATTGCTCTATCGCACCTGATACAATAACGAAGTATTCAGAGGCATGTGATCAGTATATTTACAAATAGGCCAGACAAAGGAAACTGTCTTATCCTGATGTGCTCTAGCATGATCAGGTAGGGATCTGACAAAGAAGCTTCAAATGTATGGCTTTCTTTATACCTGTCTTCCAAGTTGCTAGCTTTAGCAAAAGTCCAATTTGAAGCAGCTTCTGCTTGCTGCTTTCCTTTCTCTGAGGCCTCCCTTTATGCCCTTACCTTTCTTCTTCCCCTCCCCCCACAGCAGAACAGTGGGAAGGTTTGTGTTTGTTTCTCTTGAGAGAGTTTTTCCTTTTTCATGTTACTGCAGCTCTGTGTTTTATTAATTATGCTTTGAACCATACATGACTTCCACACTACAAGTAATGCCATTTGTTATTCTCAGAACCTTTTACTTGCTGACCGGGGCTCCTACCTCACTGGCCACAAACCGAAGTCTCCACCAGCTGAAGACTAGTTACCTACATGAAATAAAGTTGATGGTCTAAGATTACATGAGTGCCCCTATTGGCTGTTTCATCTGAGAAGTCAAAGATAAAACAGGCCATGTAGAGACTGAACCTAGTGGAGGACTTCCTCTAAAAACTTGGGTTAAGTCTAGTGGCATCATGGAGACATTTACACTGCTGGGGACAGTGCTGCTGTACCGGTTCTCAATTTTACAGTGAACAGAAAACTTCAATTTCCAGAGCTGTTAATTCTGTTAAGTCAGCACTAAGATTCCTCCTCCCCACAACCAAGTAATGAAAATCAGAATGATTCTATTCCTCCTTGTACAGATAGTTGTGAAATTAAATTAAAGTTAACCCCTAAGTTTGATTGAGAAAATAGTATACAGGCAGTCCCCGACTTACGCGGATCCGACTTACGTCGGATCCGCACTTACGAACGGGGCTTTCTCGCCCCGGAGCTTGCAGGTAGCAATCCGCTACCTCGACCTCCGGGGCGAGAAAGCCCCGTTCGTAAGTGCGGATCCGACGTAAGTCGGATCCGCGTAAGTCGGGGACTGCCTGTATACTATTTTCTCAATCAAACTTAGGGGTTAACTTTAATTTAATTTCACAACTATCTGTACAAGGAGGAATAGAATCATTCTGATTTTCATTACTTGGTTGTGGGGAGGAGGAATCTTAGTGCTGACTTAACAGAATTAACAGCTCTGGAAATTGAAGTTTTCTGTTCACTGTAAAATTGAGAACCGGTACAGCAGCACTGTCCCCAGCAGTGTAAATGTCTCCATGATGCCACTAGACTTAACCCAAGTTTTTAGAGGAAGTCCTCCACTAGGTTCAGTCTCTACATGGCCTGTTTTATCTTTGACTTCTCAGATGAAACAGCCAATAGGGGCACTCATGTAATCTTAGACCATCAACTTTATTTCATGTAGGTAACTAGTCTTCAGCTGGTGGAGACTTCTCACGTACTACTGTTGGACTGCAAATTAAGATGGATTTGAAATGATGATTCAAGCTCTGAACCCTCTAGTCCTAATAATTCTGCATTTCAGAAGCTCAGAGAAAAGCTGGGGGAGCTGGTTCTACAGGAACAGTGAAATGAACTATGCATAGACTGAAGAAAGATCAGTTTCCTCTTAGAGTTAATAGTGTGCATTACTATTACCGGGTTGGTAACAGTAATGCACACTTATGGGGGAATGATTTCTGAAGTGTGTTAATGTGGTTTGCACTAAACATTTCCTGGAGCACTTTAACATAGTGCTGTTTCCACACCCATATGAGGTGCATTGTTTCAGCATGCAGACCAACCCTTAGTATTTGTTAAAAGCATATGTGATTTTTTTTTTTTTTCTGGGAAGTGACCAGTAATTTTTGGTACCAGGAAAGGAGACTCCTTTTAAAAGGGTAGCATGCCATTTCTCCTAAATAATGATCTTTGGCTTCAGTGGAGTGTTGATAGATATGCCGTTTACAGTTTACATACTGAGGAAGATTAATCATTCTGCCTTTATCTTTTATATCTCCTTTGCAGAGGGAATGAAAATGAGAAGTACAAAACAAGAACCAAATGGAAATGTGAAAGCAAACAAAGCAGTGAGTATGCCCTTCCCATCATAACCCTATCACTAAGTAAAGGTAATGGCCAATGAATCAGTTGGCTGTCACTCAAATAGGAGCTCTGTCACAAACAAATCAAGTATCTGTTAGTATACTCCATACAAATTTCTTATACTTCTTGGAAAGTTCAAGTGATTTAGGTCTAAACATCTTGATTGTGATGCTTGTAAGACAAAATCTGTTCACAGAATTCTGATTTACCAGAAAACTATGTGGTTTGAGAACTCGCACATAATCTGTTAGTGACAAAGTGTTTAATACTATGCCCAGATCTCTGGAACTGGCTATATAGCCTTTGTGTAACTAGTCTCTCAGGTTTTGAGATTTCAGCTTTCATGTATTTTCCTGTTTTGAAGCACTGGACAAAAAGGGAATTTGTACTACTTACCCTGTGTGTCTAAATCCTGTATGCTTTTCAGTCAGATGCATGACCACCAGGTGCATGCATATCTTTTGTGAGTGCATTTAAGTCATTGACATTTTCCAGTTATGACCCTGTGGCTCTGTAAAACTCAGGATTTATTTGCAGTGGGTAGGTAGAAAATGCATTCCAAAGTTATTTCTCAAAGGCCTTTATGTAGTGGAGTTCATTTTTGTTTAAAATATGCATAAACTGTTGAATCTCTGCCCTCAGAAATCTCTGTTCTGCTTTGTCAAGAGGAAAGAGTTCCTTAAACTCTTGAGTCAGCAGGGAGGACATTGTTTCATCAAATAAAGATGACTTCTAATTCACAGATCCTTAATATAAAGATTAAGCTGCCTATTTTCTGTTCCATAGAAAAGCAAAATTAGAATATGTTCAGTGCCCATACATCCTAAGTAGTAAGATGTATCATAAATCAAAATGTCAGTTCATGCAAATCAACTGCAAATGCTATTAAAATGCAGAGTCACAACAAAAATTAGGAAGATAACATTAATATGGGGTATACTCTTTTAATCTTTTAAATACATCATTAGGAATCTTAGTTTATAAAACACTGTATTAAAACGAAAATATTGTAACATTTTAAGTTAATTCTTGGCTGAGTAGGCACTGGCTTATAATTGCTGAAAAAACTTTTAAAAATCTACTGTGATTTCCCTTCTCCTCTGAACTTGGTTCCTTAATCCAAAAATAACGATTTGGATTTCTTGTGTGAGCATCTACTGTAGTTAATATGAGCTTTTCCAATAGTCTAGAAAAAATATATTAATGTGCAAATCCCTTCATAGAATCTTGTCATTTTGTCTGTTTCTGTGCTGCTTGCAGGAAGATGATCTGAAGTGGGTAGAAGAGAATGTTCCTTCTTCTGTTACTGATGTGTAAGTATCTGTCCTGTGACACACGATACTAGCAGCATTGGAGTCAGAGGCATTGGAAGTATAGTTATACTGCCAGCAGTTATGATGTTGGCTCAGTCTAGGAAGGTATTAAATCCAGTCTGGAGCTCGCCTCTGACATTAGAGATACAGAATACTCAGCATAATTTTTAGTCGTGTGTAGTACTGTCCCTTTTAATAGATTTTATAATATTAAAAACAAAATCCAAAACTGCACCTCCTTTGAATCTTTGTGTTTGTCATTTTTGCTGCTGAGGTGAAATTACCCTTAAATGTAATACATCTGTTGAAATGAAGACTGGGAATGTCTTGAACGGTTCTCTGTAGTTGGTAGTGGTATGTTCTAATCCTCATGAGGAAGGATTTGAGACCTCAGGTTGAAAATCAACAGTACTACAAGTGAGGCTACATCGAATAGGTAAGTCCTCTGGTTCAATATTTGGTGATGTGTTTTGGTTTTTAAGCATTCAGTGTTTGTGGGGTTAGATTTTTCTCTCTCAGGTAAATTTTTAGTCCTTTTTCTTAAAGGACCAATATAGTAAAAGATACAGGATAGAGCTAACACGTTCTCATGCTCTGCAGATGGAAAAATCAGTGATACACGTTTCACTGCTGATTGTCAGTATGATACAAACTTGTTCCTGTTGTAGCTTCTGTACACCACCTCATGACTATTATTAATGAGCTAAAGTCAGTGTGTGTTGTCTGTGATTTGAACCCCATATCTAATGACTGACCTGCTTTTCTGTGAAGTTAAAATTAAGTGGATCAGCTTCCTTCAGTAGTGTACTTTGGAAGTACATAAAGCGTTTTTCCTGAAATAATATATGTAGTACATAATTTTTATTAAATTTGAGAGTTAATACCGAATTGTCTGAGCCCTGTTTATTGGCTGTTTCAGTGACATTGTGACAGTTTCTGCCTTAATGCTGGTTTTTATAGTTTAAAAACTTTTTATATTCTATATCTAAATTTCTCATTGTTAAAGCTTATGTAACCCATGAGGGAATACTGGCTTACAATTCTCATACTGGCATTCCAGCTGGAGGCCCAGATCCTGGATTTAAATATACAACTCTTTTTAATAAAAATATAATTCTGTTTATACATGATAGAATATGAAGCAGGCCCACCAACCGGGGAAGGGTGTGATTGCAAAGGGGGCCCTGGGACCCCCTTTGAAAGAGGCCCAAGGCTCCTGGCCATCACTTCTGCTACTGTTGTGACAGGACTATTGTAGCAGCAGCCAAAGCCTTGGGCCCTTTAAATCACTGGTGGGGCAGCACCAGGGTTCTGGCAGCACTGAAGGCTGACTGCCCTGGCCCTGCTCGTTCTGTCAAGGTCTCGCCACTTTCAGGTTTGTGGAGCTGGCCCACCCCCACCTTGCCTGGGGGCCCACGGAAGCTGTCAGCTCCCCTGATACTACGTACGGTTTTTCAGAATATTATACTGTGGAAAAGAGATGTCTCTTGTGAAAATTTGTCATTTGACTTTTGTCTTTATAGAATGAGTAAGGATTTTCTTTCAAAAAACACACAAACTAAAGGGTACTGAAAACTAATACAAGGCAAGATGCTGCTCCCTACAAAGTAAATAAGGAGCTGCAAAAGACACTTGCATTTTACTTGAGCATTTTTATATCTCCTGGCTGATTTCAAGTGATGGTAGGAATTTGAGAGCTGGACAATGACAGAAGAACTTAGAAACTGATTTTGGTATTTGCTAGTGCTACTTAGGTCTCATCTCACTCTTTTAATTTCTTTGTCTTTTGCTGAAATCAGAGAACCAGAGAAAGGTTGGTGGTCTTCTCCATCATAACCCAAACCCTGTCAAAAAGCAGGAAGTGTTAAAACTGGCATTGATGTTTTAAGCCATTTTTATTGCACAGGGGTTTTGTAACAATCTTTGTTTTATTGCAGTGCTCTCCCAGCCCTTCTGGATTCAGATGAGGTCAGTAAACAAGCCTTTAGCACAAATGGAAGTCTTGTGACATGCCAAGGGAGTCATGAGTTTTTTCATTAAAGGGGTTGACTTGGCCTGTTATAACTGAGCTCTATGTTGCTATAAAGGCAGCAGGAAAACAGAGTTGAGGCAGTACTGATGTTATAATTTAATCTTGTTAGTCTTTAAAGTGCTACATAGTCCTGTATTTTGTTTCAGCTACATCAGACTAACACGGCTACATCTCTATCATTATTCTTAATGAAATATAGTAATTTCCCTTAAACAGAACTAGTGTAAACTAGTGTCCAGACAAAAGACTTTCAAGAACTGTAGAGTTTGTGCAGCAGATTGCAATTGATCATGAAACAATTGTTTTAAATAGCAGATGATTTAGTGTACAGGACGCTTCTTCCACGTTTGTGTGTAAATTCCAGTAATGTATGTTGTAGCAAAACGACTCAGTTTCTGGCTCTGCAGATGCCATTACATAAATTAGCCACTGTTTGTAGAACATTAGTCCTCAGATTGAGAGGAATGTTTTGGGGTGTGTGCACTGGGGCCTCAGCCATTCCCACAGGGAGGGAGCATGATGCTTCCAGCACCAGTCCACCCCAATTTTGCTTTTTTGCCAAGCCCGTTCAGCCTCCAATCCTGCTCTGCCTCCAGGCCCAGGCCAGCCCCTATAGGGGACAGAGAGGGAGTGCCTGTCCACTCTGCTGTGATTCCCTCTTTGCTCTCAGTCCATCTCTGCCCTAGTTCCTCCACTATCCACAGTTCAGCTGTGAGCTCCACCTTTACCCCAGGCTCTTGTGCTGAGAGGGCCTTAGCTCGGCAGTAATGGATGGTGGGGTCAGACAGATTCCATTAAAGTCATAATCTGATTTAAACAGAGATTGAGGAGTAGTAGTATACTCTGAAAGGTAACACTTTTCCATAGATATGCAGTTAGATCTATGACTAGACAAATTTATATCTTGTCAAAATTTGAGCAGACTTTATGCATCTCTTATTCTGTGTATAATCGTTCTGTAAGGTATGTGTGTACCTATAAATATGTGAAGAGAGTGATGTAAGCACACACAACAACAAAAATTCAAATGTCAATGACCTCGTTTGAATCTTGCAGGAAAGAATGATTACACACTTCGAAAGATCCAAAATGGAGTGAAGAAGCAACGTCTTGAAACTTCTGTTTCCCGTAGGCTGCCTGGTGGATCAGGTGCATTCTGCTGATCTCTTTCTTGGTCTTCACCTTTGGAACTGGACACTGTATTTGAATGGTGGCCTCTTCCACAGTTTATTGTGAAAGAGGCTCACAAGGACATTGATAAATCTTTGGAAAATGTTTGAATTTACAATGTTGCTGCAAGTTTGGATTTTTAAGTGATTTAAATGTGTGTTCCAGCACCTTCTGTAACTTTTTTCAGATATTTAACCTGTCAAACTAAAGGTCCTAACTCCTGACTGAGGGACTGTGAATTTAATGTTACAATTAACTTCTACAGGACAGCTGCCTGTTTTTTTGTTTTTTTTAAGTGGAAAGTAGAAGATGGCAGTGAAGAAGTATTTTAGAAACAACCTTGCCATTTTCTTGGAAATAATGACTCGTAGATGGAGACTGCACAGCTAGCTTAGAAGGAGAGGAGGATTTTGAGTAAGAAGCCCCAGTAATTGAAGGAAATCAAGATACCAAAAAGGAAATATTTGAAAAAGTTACAATGATATTGATGGTTTTTAACAAAACCAAGTGCAATTTTATTAACACTGTGTAGAAAAGATTTTCTATTTTAAATGTCATTGACCTAGGAGCACCAGTTGCATAACTTTAGCATTTTTTGTTGTGGCACATCTCATTGCCGGCAATGTGGTGGATGCCTGAAAAATTACTTGCCCATACCTTCAAAGTGTTGCGTGGTCTAATAAAAATTTCCTGCAACACTTTGCTAGTGTGTGTCTGACTATGAAGTTAAGCAAATATTAACTAGATATTTCAGCAGGGCTCTACTCTGTGCGAGATACCTCTCTGCCAAGAGGCCTATACTCTTCCAGGAGAAAATGGCACAATGTCCCAGAGGAAGCAAGTTCTGGTTTTGCCTGCAGGCAAAAATGTTGCTGGTTTTGATGTTAATATGTTGTGCTGGGATAGTTCCATTCCTGGGGTCTGGATGGGATGTGTATGTAAAAGTTACCTGTTAACGTATATGATTTGGTGATTGGCTTTCTTGTCGTCAATCCCTCTGACCAACATGTGCTCTTTGTTCATTTGTTCAGTGTCTGAGTTGCAGATTTCTGTTCTGTACAGAGTGTTTCTGACTTCTTAGAGGGGAAAATAGTCTTTGCTTTTGGGTTTTTCATAATGTCTTATACTTTCTAGCCCTGAACGTTTCACTTGGCAATAACTTACATGTGCATGCCCATTGTAGGCCATGGGTTTGCATGTGTAAAATTGCACATGTGAGTGAAGTGATAATTGGTCTGCAGAGTTCTTTACTACTGATAATGGCACAGGAGGCAACAAGAGCCTGATTTTTAAATCCAATGTGGAGTTTGCTGTACTGCTAATTAAACAGCTTCTTACTTTGTAAATTGAGTGCATTTGATTCAGAAATTGACGAGAGAACTTGTAATCCTCAAATTGCCCTTTACAGAGCAGCTTTTGTGGAGGAGAAATGCATTAAAAGCTCATTCATAGATTTTATGGTCAGAAGGGACCATTGTACTCTAGTCTGACCTGCACACTGTAGGCCACAGCACTTCACCAACTCTCTTGTAAAAGACCCATAACCTGTGGCTGAGTTACTAAAGTCCTCCAATAATGATTTAAAGACTTCAAGCTGCAGGGAATCCACCATTTACTCTTTTATTTAATTTTTAATCATCAAGTAAACTGTGCCTAATGCTGCAGAGGAAGTCAAAACCACACGAGGATCTCTGTCAATTGGATCCAGGGGAAAATTCCTTCCCAATCCCAAATATGACCATTATACCCTAAGCATATAAACAAGACTAACCAGCCAGACACCTGGGAAAGAATTCTCTGTAGTAACTCAGAGCCCTCCCAATTAGTGTTCCATCTCTGGACCATGGGGATTTTTGCTACAAGTAGTTGCAAATGGGCCACATGTATTGTTGCCAGTCACATCCTACTAATCCCTACATACATCTATCAAGCTCAGTCTTGAAGCCAGTTAGGTTTTTTTGTCTACATTGTTTTCCTTGGAAGGCTATTTTAGAATTTCACTTCTCTGAGACTTAAACCATGAAGCCTAAACTTATGATGGTCAGTTTATACCTATTTGTTTTTGTGTCCACATTGGCATTTAATAACTCCTCTGGTATTTATCCCTCTAGTATATTTATGGAGAGCAATCCTATCTACCTTCAGCCTTTGTTTGATTTGGCTAAACAAGCCAAGCTCTTCGATTCTTTTCTGATGAGAGATTTTCCCTTCCTCTGATCATCTTGGTAGTGCCCTGTATCTGTTTTGAATCCATCTTAAACATGGGAGACAAGAATTGCATACAGTAGTGTTCCAGATGAGATTTCACAAGTTCCTTGTATAATGGCAGTAAAACGTCCTGTCTCTATTGGAAATGTCTCATCCTAGGATTGCATTAGCTTTTTTCCTGGTTACATTGCATGTGGTGACTCATTATCTTGGGATCAACTCATATAACTAGATCTTTCTTGTCTTTCACATCCGACTGATAAGTCCTCAGCATATGGCAAAAATTCTTGTTAGTCCCTAAGTACATGCCCATCCCATTTCTGTTACCTCAGTTTTCAGAGCTGCTTCTATGTTACTCTGGTCCTTCTCCCAACTTTGCAGATGACAAACTTTATTAAAGCACTTCCACTTTCTGTGCCAAGATCATTAATGAAAATGTTAACTTAAATGGATCCTCAAGATCTCCACAAGTAACCTCCTCCCAGCCTGACCACTTCCCTTTTAGTATGACCTATTGTAGTCTCCCCTTTAACCATTTCATCATTGTCTACCTTTTAATGCTCATTAATCCCTGTGTTCTCCAATTTAACTTATAATTTTTCATGTGGAACTATATCAGATGCCTTACTGAAGTCCAGGCATATTTTATTTACTGCATTTCCTTTGCCTAGAAAATAGATTATCTTAAATGAAGTTTTTGGGCTCTTTGGGTGCCAGCTCTGAAATAATATAAACCCCCCGTAACTTCCATGTGTAGTCATCTTCACTGTTTATTCCATTTCTTGTATCACTACCACTACTGCCTCTATCATAGCTTTCCCACCTAAGCTTCTGTCAAGGGAAAGCTCAGAACACCACATATTCCCTCTCCCAAATTCCTGTTTTCTGCTCTCGTTATCTGATGCTGCATCTACTGGCTGGTTACTTGCCTGCCTTTTTAGGCTCCCTCATCAAGGCTCCACTGTGATTAAAAGTTCTGCTTGTCTCACAGCACAAGGCCTCCTACTAGCCTCTGAAAACTGGAAAACAAACCAGCAAGCAAACTGCTGCTTCAGAACTTGCTGTCTGCCCTAGCTAGTATGGCTAGGTTGCCATACGTATCCAACAGGCCTTCACTCAAACACTTGTGTTTTCTGGCTCTTCTGCTGCTGTTTACTGGCTTTTGTGCTAGTCTTCATATTTTCCTTTAACTCTTGTTTAATATTAGAAGTGAATGGAACAAAGAATCATCACTTGTCATGGAAGTGCAATATGGAGAGGGTTGTGTTTGTGTGTGCATGAGTTTTTAACAAAAATCTAGTCCAGGACACAAAGATGTAACTCCTTTTGTTCAGCAGCTTTGCATTGTGATGGGAAATGGACAATTTTCTTCAAAAGAGTTACAGGGAACTTGGCTTCTTTAAAAAAAGTAAACCAGAGCTTGATTTTTTTTTTTTTTAATTTCCCTTTTTAACCCTCTGATGCCTGTTACCTTATTAACCTCTTTTCTGATCCCTTTCTAATAGCCCTATTCAATGTCATAAATGAAGCACGGCAATAATACTGATGTCACTTGCTAATTGAAAAGCACTTGAAGTTTGTGGCAAGGACATAGCTTTGATTCAAAATTCAATAGCTAAGAGCAATTTCAAACAGATTTCTAAATTGGTAAAACTGGCTAGGTGTGCAAGAGATTTAAGAGTAGAATAAATATGAAGAGATTACTGCCAGTCAAAAGCTATGCTGGTCTCTTGACCTGGGCTGTTACTTGACTCTTAAGCAGCAGATGAGTTCAATATTTAGAGTTCTCTCTCCATCCTGTGGATGGATGCTACATCTAAGCAACAACGTGCACAATGTGCTTCGGTATGTGTTCTGCACAATTTCTTGCTCTCAGCTACTTTCCCTTGTTTTTGTTTTTACAAGTATTTCTTTGATCTTTCAAGGGTAAAAATCCATTTCCTATTATGAAATAAGGTGATGTTGCTGACTCAGCTGTACCATCACTGTGGATAACTCTTATGTGAGAATAGTCTGAGTAGTAGAGCACTTTATACTGCAATCTAAACTGACTTCACAAAAGGGGAAGCTAAAATCCTGTAAAATTGTTAATTAACTTACATTTTCTGACTGTAAAAAGCAGAAGTGATTAAAAACCAAATGTATATGCACTCTTACAAAAAAACGGTTAATGTGTGGCCTTGTGCTTCAAAACTGTTTAATTTTAAAAACTTAAAAGGCAGCAATGGGTCCAAGGGACGATTGATTTTTTTTTTCTTTCGATTCTGGCTGAGGACAGAGTAGTCCAGAGGCTAGAACAAAGTATAGAAAATCCAAATAGTCCTGGAGCACCTTAGAGACCATCAAAAAATGTAGCTATCATGAGCTTTTGTGGGCACAATCGACTTTTTCAGATAAATCACAAAAGTTCATGATACCCTCTTCATTTTCCATTGGTCTCTAAGGTGCTCCAGGACCATCTGGGGTTTTCTTTATTTTTTTTCAGTTACAAACTAACATGTTTATCCCTCTGAAACTTTTGACTTAACAAGAATGCTTTCACTTTACCAGAACTTGATAGAATCATGTGTTAATAAACAGATCAATTGAAGCAGCAGTTTCCAAACTGTGGTGCATGCAGAGTAAGTGTTGGGGCCACCAAACCTCCCCCCAGCAACTCTACTCCCCAGGGCAAATCCATTTTGCTCTCATACCAGCTCCAGTCCCAGCTCCTCCCCTATCCTGAGGGCAGACCCCAGCTCCATCTCTGTCCCAAATTCTACTGAGCCAACGAGCCAACTGGGGGGGGGGGGAGGTGAAAGGAAAGGTTTGGGCTCCACTGGGTTAGGGTAACAAAACTAACACCTTATAATTGACAATGAGGAAGGTATAAGAAGGCAGGCACTGATGAGGGTAGTAGAAGCAGGGTAGACTTAGACAATCTGTGGAGGGTCATGTGATGAAGAGGGGAACAGAGACAGAGCTGAGTTTTACTTCCATCAAGAAGTAAAGTTTACAGTTGTAACATACTGTAGATGCACAAAGAGATGTTAATACATCATTACGGATTGTGTAGAAGTTGAAGGGGGGGTAGTATGTTTTTCAGTACAGTAACCCCACTACGATTCTTACTTTAACGGCTGCAGGTAGTAAAAAGTCTGGTGCCAAATAGCTGCAAAGGCATGCTATGATTATATTATCAAAATATAAGCTTTCTTATTATATTAAACCTGATAGTCTAAGGATTTTCATTTTCTACTGTAAACTGCCAGAGGGAAAGAAGAGCCTAGGCTAGACAACCAACTGGTTTTAGCAAGTGTAACTAGTACTTTGATAAGCTGTGCTTCTGGCATAGATGCAAGTTGCCCCTTGCTGTTTTTCCCCAAGGTAACTGACGAAGCTGGGGTCATGAGTTCGTGACTGCACCCAATTAGTATGGGAAAGGAAGTGAGCTTTTTATTGCAATTTAGTCCTAATCACTGTGAGATGGGTTTTGGTTACCAAGGTGACATTCTCATAGTTACTGTGCCAAACTGATCGGCACTTGTCCTGTCCCTCTTCCGCGGGGGAGGCTCATGGTACCTTAAATAGAAGGGATGCAGTCAGACACGAACTGGCAGATAGCACCTGTTTTCTCAGCTGCAAGCACAGTAGCTGGGTGTCTGTGCCAAGTGGCGCAGTAGGGGGCAGCCTGCCCCGTTGCTGTTTGCGGAGCCCTGGATGTTTCTGCATCACCTACCCCTGACGCGGGGATGACTCGGTGTGTGGGGTTCAGGCCGCTCGGCTCCAGCTGCAGCGAGCACCGCGCGGCGTGGCCGCACCCCTAGACAGGACGGGGCCCCAGCGGCGGGTC